CTGGGTGCCTGGTGCTGCRTGTAAGAGCACAGCCTAGAACTGTCCATGGTTTCAGTCACAGGAAGGGGCACGTGAGCTGSCACGTGCAGGCATGGTCTGCATTTTTACGGAAGTAGTAGTTATGCTTAATATGTTTTGTTAATGGTTATGTAGCTGTCGAATAAATCCCACTATTTCTTATTACTTCATTAGAGACCATTAAAACGGCATTAGCTTGCTGCTGAAGTTGTGCTAGCAGACACAACGGCCACAGTTAGGATCTTATAATCTGATCTTGGCTGTCCCAGGCAGGGCTGACAGATGCGGGGGCTGCTTCCTGCAGGACCCCAGYCAGGTGGGCAGTACTGGGGTGAGCAACACAGAAGGAGAACATGCTGAGAGCCCTGGAGTTGCAGGGGGTGGGTGCCTGGGGTCAGTTCTCTGGACGAGCCCTGCAGTGCATGAGGCGTGGGGTCAGCTGGGGCATCCCCAGAGGACAGGCGTATTCTGTGATCACCCTCACGGCTCTGGGCGTGCACACGGCAGCCTTGTTTCCCATCTGTGGGATCCACTGGCTTGATGAGTGCAGTGCTCTCGTTCTTCACAATGGTCACTGGGGACACAGCTGCAGAAATTCTCCACCCAGACCCTTTTCACCAGGGTCTCCTACTGCACAGCCTGGGGACATGCCTGCACCCAGCCCATTTCCTCTCCTCAGACCACCCTCCATGTGGGAGATGATCCCTGGGGGTTACAGGCTTCTTCCCAGAGAAGAACAGTGTTATTTGCCCCTAGCCTTGTCTCTGTGCATTGGCAGATTTGGGGAGGTGYTACATAGGAAGCAGGGGTGGGGAGGGGTGAAAAATGGCCTCGCCCCCTGGGTTGATGCTTCCTGCTGTCTCTGTGGACAACAYTGATTGCAGAGCCCCGCATCACCTGATCTGTGTGCCTGGGCGGTGTGGACCAGCAATGGCGGGGCCTGTGCTTGGGGCAGATGCATAGTGCTCAAAGTCCAGTCCCTCCAGCAGTGAGTGGGGCACCTGCAGGAGGGTCTTGGTAAGCGGGGTTGCGTTTGCAACGTGGTGCACTGGTATTGTACACCCATGCTTCTGGTGACACCACTGCCATCGCAGCTGGGCTCAGGCTCTGCCTGGAGGGTCATGGAGCAAGGTGGAGCAGGGTACCTGGTTGTGGAAAGCTTCCCAGAGCAAGTGTGGGTCTCTCCACAGCCCCCCTCTGGATCCTGCTAAGGTACAAAGGGGTGGCCTGGGGGCCAGAGACAGGAAACCAAGAGTGTCAAGGCACTGTGGCAGGACGTTGGAACCRCCCAGTCCTGTCTTTAGACTGAAGATGAGGTAGCAGGGAAGAGGTGTCATTAGGATATGAGGTGATTCTTCTGGAGGAAGAGGAGGCACCTTTCATGAGCGAAGCCCATGCTCTGCTTGGTGGCACAGGCTGGCGCTCCCACTCCRAGTGTGAAAGGAAACTGCACCTGGAAGGAGAGGGTAGCTCACCTTCCTAAGAGTCCTTGGTTTCCCTGCTACACACCAAGGAGCCCAGGCATAGCCCTGTGTGCAGCCAGCCTGGAGTCTGCTCCCAGGAGCGCTCTGTGGGCCCAGGCCCCACAATTGCTATCTCTGAGCCTTTTAATTCTTCTCCCAAGTGAGGTCTATGGCAGGACTGCCGAGCTCAGGACGGAGCCACGTGGAGGTGGGCAGTGCATGGCAACTTGTGCCTTTCACTGGTGTCTCACTGCTGTGAGGAGGAAGCACTCTTCCTTCCACTGTGGGTGGGTTTGCACTGGTAAAGCAGCCCCGTCTGCTCTTCTTTCCAGGAGCAGCTCTGGTGAGATCCTGCGGGTGATTGGGGAACGGTGCACAACTGCAGAGTCCAGGAATTACGTTCCTGTGAGACTGTGGTTCCTGGTAATGATGCTTTACTGGCAAGATTTGGATCTCCATCCTTCCCAGTCAGCAGTAGGCTCCTTGGGGGCAGGAACTAGTCAGTTCAGCAACCCGGTGCCCAGAGCAAGGTGTCTCCTAGTGTCTCGGTTTGCTGAGGAGGAATGAGTGAATGTTGCCGGACGGATGGAATCTGGCTCAGAGGCACCTGGGTTCGAGTCTGCTTTTCTTGACTTGCTGTAAGACCTTGGGCAGATTRCTCAAGCTCCAGCAGCCTCAACTGCCCACCTGAAGGGGAGACACCACGTGGGCATCAGCACTCGGTCGCACACAGCTTGTGTGTGTGATGCACCATTCAGAAATGAGGTGCTGCTTAGGCTGGGGGACAGGAGGGCCCATGAGGGGGTTAGGCTGTGTGAAGTATAGCTGARCACTGGGCAAGGTGTGCTTGTCTTCGTGACTTCCCTGTCAGACTGCATGCCGCTGCTCAGCTTTYGTTCATTCTCAGCCAAACAAAGTGAAAATCAGTCTTCTTTTCTGCAGACATCTCTGTTGAGCAGAGACGCTGCAGGAGTGCTGTGTCCAGCAAGGCTTTGGAGCAGGAGGCCAGCTTGTGATCCAGGAMTGGGTTCCAGTGGGAAGGCCCAGGGGACTGGCATTGGCCCTAGGGAATGGAGTTGGTCCTGCATGCAGACAGATGGCAGGAGGGGAGARCACAGTTGCACCTGCTGGATGCTGGCTTCCAGAGGTTGCTGTGCACATATGGGGTGCCAATGGAGTATGGATGAGGCCAGGCAAGTGTCTTCAAGAAGAGAGCAGCCCACGGTCCAGAGTGAGTGCAGCATTCAGATGACC